CGCCTTCCCTGGGGGAGCTCTGGTGGGTTTGGAGTCCTCTGGACATGCCCCCACCCTCTAGCAGGCCTCCTTGGCTATCTCTGCCTCTCCCCCACTCCTGACAACTTGCCTCTTCTATTTCCCACTGCCATGTGCTTGCTTCCGCTGTTCCTGTCCCCTCAGCCATCCAAGGCCCAAATTCAGCCTCCTCTGGGATGCCCTCCTTGATTGGTCACTACTGTGGGGCCCATCTCCTCTACCCAGTGACTATCCAAGGAGCACCTACTAAATATGTGGTGTGGCACCTTGGTAGGACCCTGCCTTGGTTTCCCCACCAGGGCCCTGAGGAACTCTGAGTGATGTCCAGGAGCACTTGGGCCCTTCCCTCCTCTCTCAGTAGCCACCCACAGCCCTCTTACCCACCATGTGACCCCCAGTTGAGCAGGGCCCACAGGGGGAATGTTGGGGGCGGGTCTAAACCTGGGGTCTTTAAGGTGAGAGGAAGGGGAGGAAGGGGGGTGCCCCCCAACGTGTCCCCACCCAGACCCACAACTGGGGAAACAGGTTTGCCAGCTGATGTCAGCTCTCCCTGCTGAAGGGAGGGGCGCAGGCGTTGCTGGCTGGGTGCTGGCCAACTCAGGGGTCTCTTAACACCCTCTATCAGCTCCTCCCCTCACCTTGTACTCTCCTGCCCGCAAGCACACACACAGTAGGTCCCTAGCAGGACTCAAAATTACACAGCACTACCCTTCCCTGGGAGCCCCGCACGAGGGGTGGGGACGGTGTTCCGGGAGCAGGAGCAGGAGCAGGCGGCAGGAAGGCAGTGCGGGGCGGCCTGGCCCCGCCTGCTCCTGGCTCTGCTCTCACATCCTGGATTTGTTTGCCCGGCCCCAGGCTGCCCCCTGCCTGCCCAGGCTTCCAAAGCTACAACCAGACAGCCTGTGCCCCATAGCTGCCCAGCGAGGTGAGGAGCTGGGGACGGCGTCAGCACAGATATGAGTGCTAAACACCTGCTGAGGGGATGGGGGGTGGGTGACTGTGCGCAGAGCTTGCTAGAAGGGGCATCAGGAGGAAACCATGGTGCAGGTACAGTCCTGGTGTCCTGGTCTACCAAGACACCCCAGCAGGCTGCCATCCAGCCTGAAGACCTATCATTAACATCTCTCAGACTCATCACCTGGTTTAAGCCCGCTTCGCCTGGTCACAAAAAACCTGCCCAGAGCTAAAGAGCAATCAGAGGCAGGAAGACCAGGGGTAGGTTTCCCTCCAGATTCTTTGTTCCTTCACAAGGACCAACCATGGGAGATGGAGACAGAGAGGGTGGGGTGAGGTGGGGAGGGGACAGGGAAGCAAGGAGCCTTCTCTGGTCTGGGACAGCCATAGTGGCCACCCCTCTGCAGAGACCAGGCAGCCCCTGAGGTCAGGGCTGTGTCAGTTTTACAGGCAGGGAAGCAGAGGCTCAGAAGTACAGAGTTTGGTCCCGGTCACACCAAAGAGGGACTCTACTCCACTCACTGCCTACTGCCAGGGACCTGGGCCTCTCACAGCCTGAGCACACTAAAGAGGCTATGGCCCTTATGGCCTGGATTCCAGGTCCCTGGGAGATGGTTGGTCAGCCTCTTCACACAGGGACAGCTGGTCTGAGCATGAACTTCCTCCCGGTGACAAGCTGTTCATGGCCATACAATGATCCATTGTGCCCAGGGCACACCTGAGCCAGGAGCATGATGCCAGGCAGGTGCAGGGAGGGCGGTGCTGGGTTAAAGGGAGGGAGGTGTTACCCTGGGATCCCTCCCTGCTGTGGGTGCAGAAGGAAAGTGGGGGCCTATGTGTATGAGACAGAGTTTGGGGGACACCAGTTTCTCAGCTAATGGGACGCCAGGGTCAGTCACTTCCCTCACCTTCTGAGGCCACCTGAGGTAGTTTCTGAGGCAGAGGTGGGGAGCTCAGGAGGAAAGGGCCTCCCTTCAACCTCTTTAGACATTCCTTCTGCCCTCAACCCCCAACCGGCCTTCGACATCCAAAGCAAAACCTTATTTTCTGCTCTTAGAGGGTCCACCCCCCAAATGGGGGTGGGGCCGCCTCAAGTCTGGGAGGAGCTTATCACTGTCTGTTGTTCACTGGGGGCGTCTGACTCAAGCAGGACCTGCGGTGGGAGCATGGCCCCTCCACACCCCTAACCCTAGCACACTCTGACCTGTTGGCCACAATCACCTAACCGGGCCGCACCCACGGGATGGGCAGCCCACATGCAAACTGAGTCCCATTTTCCCTTCGGACCCAGTCGGCCAGTCTCCAGTTCTTTCCAGGCCTTAGTTTCCCTATCTGTAAAGTGGCGAGTGTCCGGCTGCCTTGACCCAGGACCCTCTCCTCCTGCAAGCAAGACGCAGGCTGCGCGGTCCCGCTGGAGAGGCTGCTGTGAAGTGCGCGCCCGCGAGCTCTGTCTCTCAGGTATAAGTGCCAGCGGCACCCGGCTGGCCGGGGGCACACACGTGTGTGCGGAGCCGGAGGACGCCCCGCGTGCGCGGGCGCACCCCTGCTGTCTGGGCACCGCCGGGCGCAGGTGCAGCAGGCGCCGGGAGCGCAAAGCAAGGGGTACAGCGGGGGCGGGGCGGGCTCACCTGCGCGTAGTAGAGCAGCCACAACTCGTAGAGCCGCTCTGAGGCGGCCATGGCCCGGCCTGGCTCTGGACCTGCTGCGCGCCACCTGTCGCCGCCTCCTCCGCGCCGCCCTCCGGTTGCCCCCGGCCAGGCCCATGGGCGGAGGGCGTCACTCCGGGGCGGAGCGGCGCGGTACTACTTGGGGGAAGTCTGCGGCTCTGACCCCCGCCGCGCTGAGCCGCCCAAGTCCGCAAGCTCCTCCTCCTCGCGGCCGGCCGCCGCCCGGCTTCCTACACTTCGCTGCAGCCGCCGCCGCCGCCCCGCCTCTCCCGGGACCGTGCAAAGGGCGGAGAGCCGGGCAGGAGGAGGAGCCCAAGGTCAGGGCGGCCGGGGAGGGCGCTCTGCCGCCCCGCCCCCTGCAGGCCGCGCCCCCACCAGTGCCTCTGGAAGGGCCACGCTGAGCCTCCCGGAGGAGGGTTGGGGTCAGCGATTCCATACTTGCCCAGGGGCCGGATCCGCCTGGGACGCAGCCCGCCTGGTTGGAGTTACCGCCATTCAGGAAAGAGGGTGCGGGCCGCGTGGGGATGGCCAGCGTCCTTTAACAAGCAATTATAACCACCACCATGATGATCATTGGTAGCGCTTAGTGCTAGGTGCTGTATGGGGAGACTGAAATGCCAGTTTTGAGCTCCAGCTGTTTATGGGGGGAGAGAGCAGCAGGACTATCCTGAAATACCTTTAGGGAAGCGGTGCCCTCTTTCCTGGCAGATGCCAGGGAGGTTTAGACCATTCCCATGGGTCTCCTTCCTCCTCCAGGAAGCCTTCCCAGATGCTCCAGTGGAGGTGACCCCCACTCTAGGGCTCAGCTCTTTGTTCCTTTAACTTCATGAGGTGAGTGCCTCATGGTTCTGTTTTACAGATGGATAAACAGAGGCCCAGATGGGCAGCTAGGGGCAGCAGGGACATAGACCTGGGCCTGATTAACTCTGCTGGGCTACTGCCACCATCACCCCTGTACCCCTTTCCTCATGCCCAGACTGCCTGTGAGGTGAGGGGCCCCTCGTGTTGGACAGGGGTCAGGCCTTTTGTCATGGCTGGGGGGAAGTATGCCTGGTCCACAGAGGTGCCGTTGGTCCTAGAAATTGACCAGTCTGGGCACCCCTAGACCTTGAGTGGCCAAGAGAAGACAGACCCTATCTCCATACCTCTCCTGTTCTGTCCTCCTAGCTTCTTGGGCTCCCTCCAGTCTGGCCTTTTCTCCTGCCTCATCTATGCTAGCACTGAGCTGACAATTCCTGAGAACCTACAACCTGCATGTCCTGGCAGGGCACCCCACCCACTATAGGGGAGAGGGCCTAGACAGGCCCAAGGTAGTGAGGTTAAGAGGGTCTGTGGAGGGGAAGGAGGCTATACCCGAGATCTGTGGCACATAGGACTCTAAAGGGAGTTGGAAAGGGAGGAGTGGGCCACTTGCAGCCACTCTAGTAAGGGAGGCAGGCCCCAGGCAGGGAACAGCCTTCCTAAGAAGCTAGACATCCCCTTGCAGGGGACATGGAGTAGTAGTGGAAGGCATGGTCTCCTCCCCAGGTGAGAGGGCGTGTGGCTGACAGATCTTGATTTCAGCCTAGTGGGATGGGGGTGGGGGAGGGTGGATCAATGAGCAGGATAGAGCAGGACGCGCTGATTAATGCAGGAAGGAAGACCCTGGCAGCTTCTCCCAGGGAGGGATGCAACTTGTAGCCATTTGCTGCAGTCGAAGCCAAACCAACTCTTCCAAAGTTGGGGGAGGAGAGTGGGTCCTTAGGGCAAACTGGGTCCAGGTTGGAGTTTGCTCTTCTTCAGGAAAGGCAGCTTGACCCTGATTACTTTGCTGCTACAGGAGGTGGGTGGTATGAGAGGGGATCATCTTTGAGAGGGAAATGGCTATACAGTCAGGTCCCACACTGCGCAGACTTTGAGCTGAGAGTGAACAGAAGGCTTAGCAGCACTTGGTTAGGTGAACCTGGGGAGCCACTGATAGCTGGAGAGATGTGGAGGCAGACTTCATATTAGGGTGGAATTGGAGTGAGGGTCAGGGAAGGCTTCTTGAAGGTATTTGAGACTTGAAGAATCAGGACAAGTGGACAAGGAAGGGTCAGGGCATTCCAAGAGGCCGCATGGAGTGAGTTGTGGTTAGGGCTTAGAACCATGGCGATCGACGCACTCTAGTCTCTTTCTCTCAGGTCTGATTCCACTTGCTTTCTCACGGATTAGCGTTGGACAAATCGAGCCTTAGCACCTTTTTTTTTTCTGGCTCCCCACCTGCTAGGCAATTTGCCCAGAGGAAAAGGGCGGGCGCTCCCGTAACAACTCAGTATTGATTGGCTTGCAGGACTTCCTGCTCTCTCCTTCTCGTCCTTGGATTGGCCGTGAGACATTCGGCCTTGGGCCTGCGCAATGCAGGACGAGAGAAAAGGAGGGGGTTGGTGGGCAAGATGGCGACGACTACGGCTGGTGTAGGCCGGCTAGAGGAAGAGGCGCTGCGGCGAAAGGAACGGCTGAAGGCCCTACGGGAGAAAACTGGGCGCAAGGTAAGAAATACAGAATGAGGGCTGTAACTCAGGAAGCCAGCGTTTGTGGTCCGGAACGGAGGGTTGAGGGGAGCAGGGGACTATTTGGGAACGACAGCTGCCTAAGCGCGCATGCGCGGGCAGCTAGGGCATGCGCGTGAAGATGGCGCTCGCCCACGAAGTTCGCTGCCTGGTGCCGTACACTTTCAGTGTCCGTGAGGTCGGCGCGCGTGCGCGGGGGCAGGTGGGGCAATGGTCTTGCCCCCGCAGTCCCATTGGCTCTTGCTTGCGAGGCCGCTTCTGTTTTAGATGTGTGTTTTGTCCATTTTCTCCATGGTGTGGCTAACGTTTCACCCCCACGCTAGATTTCCCTGAGTTTGGCAGACTCCCCTGTCCCACAGCGCGCCTTGGAAAGGGCAACAAGTGATTGTGCACTGGCCGCGCAGCACGAGTCATTGGGTGCAAAAATCCAAAAGAAAAGATCTAAGAATTTGTAAGTTAGGGTGGACCACAGGGAAATGTGGAAACCACAAGGAGGTTCAGGCTAGGTCCAGTTGCTTGTGGCAAAATAGTCCAATTATTGGGAGAAGGAGGATTGCCAAGGAAGAAATTTAACAGGACAGACGTCTTGTCCTGGAAAAGCTGTCTCAGATCCCTTTCCACAACTAAGGGATATCGTGGGCTTTTAAAGGAGGGGCCACGTGCCTTGTGACAGGTTGTGGTGTATCTCACAAGGGGCTATATGCATTTGCTGCAGGTTGTGGGGGATGTTGAATCTTGGCGTCAGGAAGTCTGCCCTAGGGCCTTCAGAATCTCCTTTGTCTTGTAGAAAATTGGTCATTTAAGAGCTAGTGCAGAGGCTCACGCCTAAAATCCCAGCAATTTGGGAAGTCCAGGCCAGGGGATCTCTTGAGGCCAGGAGTTTCAGTGCATCATTTCTGGGAAATTACTCAAAGGGTCAAGTAGTTAGTTAAGGGAGAGGGTAATGAAAAACATGCATGGGTTCATGGAGCTGGTTACAGAAAAAGGAGGGGTGCTTAGTTCTCTCCTAAGCTGCTTTTCTAGGGATGAACCTACTAGTCCTGCTAGTTGCCAAATTGGGAACCATTTTTACTTGCTTTCCTTTAACTTCAAAATGGTCTGATTTCATATCTGCTTTGTTCATCTTTCTGAAATAATGGAGAGGAAGGACAACTCTGAAGTTCACTAGCTGTGTGCAAACCCTGGCCCTGTTACTTGGGGCTGTGGGACTTGGGACAAATTGTTTCATCTTCCTGAGCCCAAGTTTCTTCATGTCTCCAGTGGGGGATAACAACCCCTACACATTCATTCTCACGGGGTTATTTGGAGATCTTACAGGATAATCTTTGTGAAAGGGCCCTAGAGACCACAGAGGGCCAAGGTTGTTGGTTCTGTTATAGGATAGATAAAAACCGTGTCCTTCACTATATGAAGTACAAAGAATATTCAATATCTATATCTGCCAGAGGTAGGGGAAACAGGCATTCTACTTTCCAACTTTAAAAAAACCAGGCTGATATGAAAAAATGCTCAACATCTCTAATCATCAGGGAAATGCAAATCAAAACCACAATGAGATATCACTTATCTCCAGTGAGAATGGCCTTTATTAACAAGTCCCAAAACAATAAATGTTGGGGTGGATGTGGAGAGATAGGAACACTCTTACATTGCTGGTGGGACTGCAAACTAGTTCAACCTCTGTAGAAAGCAATATGGAGGCCGGGAACGGTGGCTCACGCCTGTAATCCTAGCACTCTGGTAGGCCAAGGCGGGCAGATTGCTTGAGGTCAGGAGTTCGAAAACAGCCTGAGCAAGAGTGAGACCCCATCTCTACTATAAATAGAAAGAAATTAATTGGCCAACTAATATATATAGAAAAAATTAGCCGGCATGGTGGTGCATGCCTGTAGTCCCAGCTCTACTCCGGAGGCTGAGGCAGTGAGATTGCTTGAGCCCCAGGAGTTTGACGTTGCCTGTGAACTAGCCTGACTCACCGCACTTCACTCTAGCCTGGGCAACAAAGCAAGACTCCTGTCTCAAAAAAAAAAAAGAAAGGCATTAGGAGATATCTTAAAGCGATAACAAGTGGATCTACCATTTGACCCAGCTATCCCATTACTGAGCATTTACCCAAAAGAATAAAAGTCAGTCTATTTGCGAAAAAAAAAGACATCTGCACCTTGAATGTTTATAGCAGCACAATTCACCAATTGCAAAGTATGAAACAACTGAAGTGCCCATCACTACATCGAGTACGATATATAAATGTGGTATATGGCTATACCATCGGAGTACTATCAGGTATAAGAACAACGGTGAGCACCTCTTGTATTTTCCTGGCTAGAGCTGGAACCCATTCTATTAAGTGAAGTATCCCAAGAATGTAAAAATAAACACCACATGTACTCACTATTTTTTTTTTTTGTTGAGACAATCCTCGCTTGTTGCCCAGGTTAGAGTGAGTGCCGTGGCATCAGCCTAGCCTCACAGCCAACCTCAAACTCCTGGCTCACAGCCATCCTCCTTCTTCAGCCTTGAGTAGCTGGGACTAGCAGGGCATCCGCGCCACCCATCAGGCCGGCCGCCTAATTCTTTTCGTTTTATATATTGTTGGTCCCAACTTAATTATTGTTTTATTCTATAGTAGAGACGGGGTCTCGCTCTTGCTCAGGCTGTTTTTGAACTCCTGACCTCGAGCAATCCGCCCACTTCGGCCTCCCAGAGTACTAGGAGTACAGGCGTGAGCCACCACGCCCGGCCTTAACTGATCAACACCTAAGTGGACATATAAGAAAAACATCTATTGGGTGTTGGGCAGGTAGGGGGGGAGGGGATGGATATATACATATATAATGAGCGTGATGTGCACCAGCTGGGGGATGGACACGCTTGAAGCTCTGACTCGAGGGGGGAGAGGGGGCAAGGGCAATATATGTAACCTTAACATTTGTACCTCCATAATATGCTGAAAAAATTTTTTAAAAATGTATTAAGTAAAAAAACCAGGCTGATCAGTGTGGCCCCCATTTTCTTTCTGCAATGCAGTCTGGTGTCCTGTGGGACAGCGAAAGGGGAAGTAATAGAGAGTAAAAGCCGGCCAAATTGTCTTCTGCTTATGTTGGGACCATGTTGAACATATCAGACAGTTATCCCCCAAACTACCTGGATCAGGGAAGCTCAAACCTCAGCTTTTCAAGCAGTGAGTAGTCCACCTGAGCACTTTGCTTGCATCCATTCAGGGCCCAGATTACTGGATTTGAGGTCAGAATACAAGGGACAAAATAGCATCTTTAGAGCCTATTGCCATGGGAAGGATTTGCCAGACCATCAGAACTGGCTGTTAAAGAGGGATTATCTCACTGGGCTGGCAATATGGCTTGATATGTTATTTTTTTTCTGTGTTTTAAAATTGTGGTAGGCTGGGCGCAGTGGCTTACGTCTGTAATCCTAGCACTCTGGGAGGCCAAGGTGGGAGGATTGCTTGAGCTTAGGAGTTCGAGACCAGCCTGAGCAAGAGGGAGACCCTGTCTCTACTATAAATAGAAAGAAATTAGCCAGACAACTAAAAATAGTTGAGACAGAGTCTCAACTCTGTTACCCGGGCTAGAGTGCCGTGGTGTCAGCCTACCTCACAACAACCTCAAACTCCTGGGCTCAGGCGATCCTCCTGCCTCAGTCTCCCAAGTAGCTGGGACTACAGGCATGTACCACCATGCCCAGCTAATTTTTTCTGTATATTTTTAGTTGGCCAATTAATGTCTTTCTATTTTTAGTAGAGATGGGGTCTCGCTCTTACTCAGGCTGGCCTCGAACTTCTGAGCTCAAACCATCCACCCACCTTGGCCTCTCAGAGTGCTAGGATTACAGGTGTAAGCCACTGGGCCTGGCCCTATGTTTAACTTTTTGAGGAATTACCATGCTGTTTCCCATAGTGGCTACACTGTTTTATATTCCCAGCAGCTGTGAACAAAGCTTCCTATTTCTCAGCATTCTCTCAACACTTGTTATTTTCCTTTTTTAAATTACAGCCATCCTTATGGGTGTGAAGTGGTATCTCATTGTGGTTTAGATGTGCATATCCCTAATGGTAATTGACATTGAGCATCATTTGTGTGCCTGTTTACCTTCTGCATATCTTCTTTGGAGAAGTATCTATTTGAGTCCATTGCTTATATTGTTGCGCAAGCTACAGTGAATGCCATGGCGTCAGCCTAGCTCACAGCAACCCCAAACTCCTGGGCTCAAGCAATCCTCTGCTCAGCCTCCAAGAGCTGGGACTACAGCTGCGCCACCATGCCGGCTAATTTTTCTATATATATTGTTGCCAATTAATGTTCTTCTATTTATAGTAGAGAACAGGGTATCCCTTTTGCTCCAGGCTGGTTTTCGAACTCCCTGAACCTCCAGCAATCCGCGCCTCAGCTCCAGATGTAGGATTACAGGCAGGCCACTGCACACACAAACATGAGAAAATGCATTATTTATATATTCTAAATACTAAACCATTATTAGATATGAGCTTTAGTGATTTTTTCCCCATTCTCTGTGTTTTCATTCTTTTAGTAGTGTCCTTTGATGCACAAAAGGTTTTTTAATTTTGATGTTCAGTTTATCTGTTTTTGATCTTGTTGCCTATGTTTCTAGTGTCATGTTCAATCTCCACAGTTCTTGAGTTACTTTTTATTAGGGTAAATTCCTGGGGGGAAAGATAGTCATGGGTCTAAACTTTGAGTTAATTTAGTCATTTCCTGCGGGACCTTTAAGTGAGGAGACTGGGGAGGAAGTGCAGACTGCCTGCTGCTGCCAGATAAGACCCCAAAAGTCTCCTCCCTTAGGGAGGAAGTGGCTCCACATTTTTAGATCAGGCCTCTAATGTGACACCAGACTCAAGAATGGCTCACGCCTATAATCCTAGCACTCTGGGAGGCCGAGGCGGATTGCTCGAGGTCAGGAGTTTGAAACCAGCCTGAGCAAAAGCAAGACCCTGTCCCTACTAT